TTAATTCAATTGCAACTATTGTTGGACTTTAATTTAGTATTTAATTAAAATTTGATTTTAATAAATTATTATTCATCCTAATATATTCTTAAGTTAGACTCTAATTTGACATTTGATTAGAATTTGATTTTAATTAAATTGTCTTGCCCTGAAATTTTGAAATTAGAGTTGGACTTTAATTTGATATTTAATTAAAATTTGATGTTAATAAAATAAGTTCGCCATAATATCTTAGAATTGAAGTTGGACTCTAATTTGATTTAATTAAATTAGTTTGTCCTATAATTGTGGAATTAGAGTTAGACTCTAATTCAGTATTAAATTAAAATTTGATTTTAATTGAATAAACCTGATAAATTAAATTAATTGATTAATTAATTATTTAATTGTTCTGATCAATTTGTTTAAAATTAGTTTAGACGACCTTAATTGCTAGAAACTTGAAACATGATGGCATATAATATTAGATATTATATAGGAAAGTTTTTATATGATGAATGTTTTATTAGTGGATGATTATGGACTCGACCAGATGTACCATCTGTCATACGGTGAGAATACAAATGTTGTTTCAGATACGATTTATAATTAGTTAATTGGTTCGATCCATTTGTCTAGATTAGTGTAGACGACTTTAATTGTTAGAAACTTGAAACATGTTTGCATATAATATTAGATATTAGATAGGAATGCATTTATATGATGAAGGTTTTATTAGTGGATGATTATGGACTCGACCAAATGTACCATTTGTCATATGGTGAGAATACAAATGCTGTTTCAGGTACAATTTATTAGTTAGACTCCTGGTCACGTAGAATTGCTCCAACTTCAACCATAATGCAATTGCGGTTTTCTCTTTCAAAACGTCTTGAAAATATAATTTGAAAGATGAAGATGAATCTGTGATAGGGCTTTTCGATATTTACATTGTTTATCCACTTTCGACTAATTTGAGAGCATATTGTCAAATCCGAACAAAGCGTCGTTCAAAACTATCTGAGCGAGCACTGCTCATATCTTTTACCTGGCACAACGAAAATCTAGTGCTGCGATCCAAAAGCGAAATATCATATTTCATGATTGCTATCACAATAACAAAACCTCGAACAAATCAAACATTAAACTTTGGTACCACTTGTTAGGAATTAAGGACGATAATATATGGCACAATTTGAAATAATAATCACAAAACACAAGAAATTGGGCAGATGAATAGAAATTTTATTAATATGGATAAAAATACAATAATATTGTGTTTATATTATTGTCTAACTTTCTAAGATTTATACAAAGTCATGTGAAAGTCAAAAATTTCGTGGAGTATATATAAGACTCAAGATAATATATTATAGTTAGAAAGGGGATAAAAAAAAGTCAAAAAATAAGGAAACAATATTTCGGAATATATACGCAGGCGAGCGGCAATGAAGGCGCCTCCAATGATGCCTAGGAACTGGTTTCGGGATAATTCTCACTTTTTGGCTTCTTTAACACCTTCTTCGAAATAAATAAATAAATTTGGATCACAATATTTACGGCTTGTTTTCGGGAAGTCCATAAAGCAAATTTGATGTTTAGTTCCAACATATTTTCTCTTGCAATTGGTGAGTTTGGTTCCACGTTAGGAGCCTTTAATTTCCACTGTCTCGCACTAACGAAGACAACTCAGCGTGGCCGGTCCACTTCTCTATCCCCAAACAAAACATGTAACATGTAACGTGCATTATCCCCACAACCACATGGCTTCTTTTCCAACTTTTGTACCCAATAGATTTGCGTGCTCAAAGGGAAACAAGATCGAGAAATGCTATTCATCCCCACTGGGGATACATCCCCAATCTATGTGGCGTTGATGTGGCATTAAATGATATGTGAAATTAAATAAGTCATTTAATTTCACCTATCATTTAACCAATCATTTACATTCACATAGACTGGGGATGCATCCCCACTAAGGATGAATAGCATTTTTCAACAAGATCCTTTCCCTTTCTATGCCCCTCATTTTTCATTCACTCTTACTTATCATCTCCCCAAATTTCCACTTATAAGTTATCATTACTTTGTAAGTAGCTACTAAATTTTAAAAGTGTAAAAGTATTTTTTAAATCCACTCTACTAATTACGTGATTAAAAAATTATTAAAAAACATAAAATAATTAGTTGCAATATAAACAACGAGTCACGTGTTGGCACTGCGAGATCACTTTAGTCAACCTTCATCTCACATAAAAATGCAATAAAACAACCGCATATACGGGTAAATCCAACATTTTATTTCTCTCAATAATAAGAAATTTGGCTAAGGACTGAAGGGTTACAAAAACTCATTTGTATCTCGTCATCCTTTTCTTAAATATACAAAAATGTAAATAGTTGATAGCAATCATTCGTATCACTATAAGAGAATAATAATTTGTTTTTATGAATTGTGGTATAAAAAATAAAAATTGAGGCCTGCAATCTCTTTAGAGATGACTGTGAACTGGTTATAAAATAAGGATTTAAGGGGCCGGTAATGTTTATATAGAACTAAACTGAGTGCTTAAGTTTGTATTATGAAGACGATTTAAAAATTAATTTTGGCTTGTTAAAGACAATGTAATAGAATAAAATTATTCTTAAGCATCTTAAATTTTCAAATTAAGCGAAAAATCTTCTACTCAACTCTCTCTAACTCATTTATGTAAATTTTCCTTTGCCATCTATATACGTACATGTCGTATGGCAAATGTTGTATCATTACTTAACTTAGTACTGCAATGCAAAAGTAATCAGGGATTTATAATCAATCGGACATCTTTCTAACAAAAATGCTACATGTACAGGGCCACATCGGCCCTGCAAAATGTCCCACGTATAGGGCCTGCATGGCTCTATCCATATAGCATCGTTCTCTTTCTAATAATTCACCATTACTGCATAGTAATCCGCACATGCATTAAAAGCAAAAGTATTAGATGCTCAAATCATTGAACTAGAGATAGCAATGGGGCGGGTTCGGGGCAGGGTACCCCCGCCCCGTTTCCTGTCCCTTTAAAAAAAAAAAAATTCGATTAAAATACAAATTCAAAATTTTAAAATCCAAAGCAAATAATGTTCAAACTAATTAAATCAATATCCAAAACAAGCACTCGAAACAAACAATGTCCAAAACAATTTTTCTTTTTATTCTTTATGAGGCGGGTTTGTGGCAGGGCATATTTGGCCCGAGACCCGAGACGGGGCAGCGATCCCCGCCCCGCCAACCCGGAATTTTTTGCCATCACTACATTGAACCATATTATTAGCATGCAATATCTTATACAACAATATGCTTTTTCATTACAAAATAATGAAAATTTTGATATTTAATTTTTTTAATAATCTCAACTAGTACCCTACAAATTAATACAAAATGGGTCTTTAGTCTTCGCAAAACTCATCTATTACATATTTGACACGTAAAAGTTTTAATGATAAAACGTTGATAAGATTTAATATACAAAATTTATGTCAACGATATTATATTAAATTACTTTATCTTAAAATTCTTGACTATTAGAAATAATCAAATAATACTACTTTTTTTATAAATTGTGTCAAAACATTTTATCCTTTTTTCGATCAGCTTCTTCCCACTGGTAGTAAGCAGAGGTTATTGAAAACAGCTAGCAATATTATTCTTCTTTGAAAAATGACAGCTAACCAAGAAAATAACGTGCCGCCGGCCCGCAAATACGTGGTAAACAAATCAACATTTTTAATTGATTAGTATTTTAATAAAGAAATAGGGCGTGTTCGGTAGAGATTAAAATCGGATTAAAATTGAAAAATTAGTCGTTATTGTTGACTTTTATTAGACGAGTGAGACTCAATAACGTCTATATTTTCAATTTTAATTGGATTTTAATCTTTACTAAACGCGCACATAATATCGAAAATGTTGAAAACTATGTTTTTATTATTAAATCATACATAAGACAAGAAAGCCACCCCACATTATATTTTCCTACTAAGGGATAACAATCATAAATTAATGCTTCTGCATGTTTTGTATATTAAGCCGCTGTTTGGTGGATATTAAAATCAAAATTTTAATAGATTTTGATAGAAGTTATGAAATATATGGTTGAAAAGCTGTGAATTCTATGAAATATGTGATTAAAATTAATTGTTGACTTTAACTTAAATTAAAATCAACATGGGATAAATAAAGCTGCTATTTGATTTAGTTAAAAATAAGATTTTTAATAAATTTTGATAAAAGTAGATAAAATCCGTGTTTGAAAAGTTACGTATTCCATACAATATATGATTAATATTAATTATTGACATTGACTTAAAATTTTATTAACTTTTTAAAGTTAAACCAAACATGGACTAAACATGTAGGATTACAATGGACAAATGTTTCACACGACGTTCTTCTTGAGTCGTGTGATTTTATCTAGCTAGTACTCTATCATACAAGAATGCAGCTACAACTTTTGGTTCAAAAAATCTCATAGAAATGCTTTCAAGGCCATCACCTGCAGGAACTTGGAAGTTCAATTACGTGGGAATGTGCCCTTCCATATCACCATTTGTGTGTAACAGTACATGTTTAATAATGGAGGGCAAAGATTGGGAATGAAGAGTGCCAATTTCCCTAACAAGAATACATATTTAAGTAGGTGAAGTCGTATCTATTCGTATCTATATTTATTGTGAGTATTGCTATTTAGTTTAAATTAAGCTCATGTTTGGTAACGATTAAAATTAGACTTTTAGCTAATTTTGATAAAAGTTGATGAAGTGTGTAATTGAAAAATTATGAATCCTATGAAATGTGTGGTTAAAATTAATTATTGATTTTGATTTAAATTTTAATCAATTTTTTTGACTGTACGAAACGGGGGCTAATTATGATATATTGGACTACAACTATAAAACCAAAATCCAAGAATAGTCCAACTATAACAGAGAGAGAGAGAGAGAGAGAGAGAGGATGGGAGGAGTTTGCAGGAGAAGTGGCGATGAAAGAGAAGAGATTGAATAAAGCACACTTTGTTCTGGTACATGGAATTGGAGGAGGAGGTTGGTGCTGGTACAAAATCAGATGCCTAATGGAGAATTCCAACTATCGAGTTACATTTATCGACCTCAAAGGTGCCGGCATCGATCAAACCAATCCCAACACCATTCTTTCATTTGAAGACTACAACAAGCCGCTCATCGACTTCTTGTCATCCTTAGACGACAATGAAAAGGTTTCCTTCTCTCTTTATAGTTTAGCGGTTAGAAAGGAGTCGGACGTATTCATTTAACTAAAAATTAAGTCTATTTATGGATACAGGTAACATTAGTAGGACATAGTGCAGGAGGGCGTTAATTGTTTCATTAGCCACTGAACTTTCATATATGTCACGGTTTACCCACTCACCTTTAAAACTTATCCCACTGGCCACTCAACTTTAAACCGTCCCACTCCGTTGGCCACTGGATCAAAACCGTTAGTAACGTTGTCCACGTGGCTGATGGAAAGATGA